TCATATTGGCAATAACTCTCTTAAGATTTATTTCAGATTTAAAATATAATTTATATAAATGGCAGAAAGAAATAGCTTAAAAAAGGAAGAAATGTAAGATAAAATGTGATTTATGTTATGAATTCATACTTATATGATTTTCATTTCAATATAACAAACTTCAGTAACCAGAAATATATCGAAGATACATGATTCTCTTAGAATTTTTTCACAAGATTTGCCTGTACAGATACTTACTACAACTTTAAAGAAAAAAAAGCCACTTGAATCAGTTATTATTAGTATATTTGTCTCCATTTTTTATTAAATATTTTTGATATCATATACAATCATTCAATATAATTTAGATCATTCAAAAAAGCTATTATTAAAGAATTCATCACGAATATTACGTGATTTTTCTCAAAATCGCAGAAATACTCAAAGTAAGATAAGTCAATTAAAAAGCAAGTAAGACAATCATGTGTCATGTAAACCAATATATCAAACTCCTGAAAATATTATGTTACAAATTGATGACAGGTCATATAATAGTATTTATGAAGAGAGAGATGGTGATGATGCTTATGAAAAAAGAGATGATGATAATTCTTGTGAAGAAAAAGATAGTGACAATGTTCGTAAAAGAAGTAGTGATGATTATTCTTTTGATGATGACATGACTCTAATAATAAATACAATGATCAAGATATTTTGCAATATAACATTTCGGATATATCAAGAAAATACAAACAAAAGAATATAGTTAATATTGAACTAATAAAAATGCCTAAAAAATATATTACTAGTATAGTAAAAATTTAATATTTAAATATATTTATATTGATTTTATATTAAAAGTTTATTCTTTTTTATTATTGATAAACTAATAGATAGTAATGATAGTTATTTGGTCTCTTCAAAATTTTTAGAAAGATTAAATGCTTAGAATAAAATCCTTTGAAAAAATCAACTTAAACAAGATAAAAAACTCAATGAGATGATGAAAGTTATTTCAAAACTGCAGTGGGAAGATGGTTTGTTGTCTACCTTTTTTAAGATAAGTGATAGTTTAAAAATATATTTAACGTATAGGATTTAAGTAATTTATTAAGTTTTTTATTTCTGACACAATAGAAAGGTATTGTAGCTATTACTAAAGATATTCAAAAAGTATTGTTACATCCTACTGCAGAATTATTTAAGAAATATCTTAAGGATTATGTTGAAATATGATCTAAAGGATACATAAAGAATATTAGAGAACGTAGATGGGATTCTCAATTTTATTCAGAGTTTTTGCCTATAGTAAGTATTACATTACTTATAACTAATTGTTTTTTGTTAATTTTTTTGTTGATTTTTTAATTCGTATTTTGTAATGTCTTGAAAAATAAGGTACTATTGAAGTGCTATCGCTAAGGATATATGGCTTGCGCTCTTTAAAGTTTTTCCTGAAGTTCTGAAAATCAAGACAAATGCAGGTACTAAAATTGCAGAATGGAAGAAATATCCACAGATTTCTGATGCATATAAAAGTTTATAGAAAGTAGAAAATACTAGTCTTATAATAATTAATATGATAATCATGATAGTTATACCTAAAGAATGTAGAGAATACTGCTTAATACCACCAATAATTGCCTTTGCACTTGCAGTTTGTTATAATATTTTAAATCCACATAGTAAAAATATTCGATGTATTGAAGAAGCTGTCAAAAAATGTTGTATTATTTTCTTGGTAAGTATTTACTTTTGTATTTATGCTTGATTGATTTTTATTGAATATTGCTTTTATAGATACAATTAAATGCAAAATAAGTTTCAAGTAAAAGGGATGTCAAAGATATTCAAAATAACTTGAAAAATACAAGCAAAATAAATGATTATAACAATAATAACATTGAAGAACTTTCCGATGATAATACTAATAACGATGCGAAACTATTTAAATAAAACTTATAGTGCCTTTTAGCTTTTAGTTAAAATTAATATCTTTTGCAATTATTGATATATATTGCTATAAACCTTTATTTGAATAAATAATAATATTTTCAATTTTGCAAAAATGATTATTTCTGAAGTTTTAATAAATGATAATTTCTGCAGTGATATTTTTGTAATGATTATTTTCGCAGTTAGTTAATAATAATTATTTCCACAGTTTTGTATACTCACAGATTACTGAATGGAATAAAGAATAATACAGTTGTCAGTACTCAAAGAAGTTCATAAATATCCATATCATTTAAACTCCTGATGTATATCTGAAGAAGTGTAATGTTATTTAAAACCTGATAAAAATTAAGAAGGTTATTAGACAGCTGAACACCTTCTTAAACAAATCAAATATAAAGTTATTCCTATTTTTGAGATGTTGTATCCAAATTGTATAGTAGTATTTGCCTTTAATAATAATTCAAATTAGAATTCTAAATGAGTCAAGTCAAATTGAGTTTAAAGATCAGCTTTATTTGACTCTTTTTTTTCAAATTGAATCAAATTTATTTTATAAAATCTTTCAATTTGATTTGATTCAAGTTATATAAATTTTAAATTCAACTTAACTTGACTTGACTCAATTTTAACTCAATTCGATTTTGATTTGAATTTATTCAAATTGAGTCAAGTTCAAATTAAGTTATGAATCAATTTTAAATTTTTATAAACATTTAAATATAAAAAAAAAATTAGTAAAAAATATTTATTTAAAAAATGAAAAATATCAGGAAGAAAAAAAAAAAATTTAAAATTAAAAAATATCAAAAAAAAAAATAATTAAAAATAAAAAAAATTAGAATTAAAAAAAAATAAAAAATAAAAAAATATTTAAAATTAAAGAACAAAATCAAAAAAATTAAAAAAAATAATAAAAAAAATGAAAAAATTAGAGGGGAGGAGAGTGAATAATTCGTCATCATTCTTCTTGAATGATTTTTTTTATCATTCAAGTCAAATGATTCAGGTCATCATTCTTCTTAAATGATTTTTTTTATCGTTCAAGTCGAACGATTTATCATCATTCTTTTTGAAAGATTTTTTTATTATTCAAGTCAAACAATTCAGGTTATCATTCTTCTTGAATGATTTTTTTTATCATTCAAGTCAAATGATTTATAATTATTCTTCTTGAATGATTTTTTTATTATTCAAGTTAAACAATTTCTCATCATTTTTTTTGAATGATTTTTTTATCATTCAAGTTGAATAATTTCTTATTGTTCTTCTTGAATGATTATTTTTCTATAGGACTGTGGTCCTAGAACTGCAGTTTTAGCATCTGGTACTAGAATCCAGTCTTAGGACCCAAGTTCTATGGACTAGGAGTTTCAGGATCAGACTAGGACTAGACTGGATTTTAATATCCCTAAAAGTAATACTATTTCAAGTTAACTCAAATCAACTCAAATCAAGTTGAGTTTAAATCAAATCAAGTTAAATATTTAATTTGACTTAAATTTGACTTGACTCACAAATTATCAAGTCAAAAAAATATAAATTTGGCTTAGCTTATCTGATTCGTGAGTTAACTTGATTCGTTCAAAACTCTAGTTCAAATTATGCTGCATTTAGAAAAGATGCTATAGTTATAAACTGAATGAATTTGAATCCTGGTGGCAAGCAACTGATCATACATGATACTTATTTTGAATTAAATCAACAGCCACAATCAATGGTATTTTTAGCTACTCATTTTAATGAAAACTTCGAGATTAGCTTGAAGGAATCAAATAAGTATTAATATAGCGAGAAAAATGGCTATTTAAAAAATTAATATTAGAATGTAAAAATTGTAAAGAAAAATTCAAGATTCTTCAAGAACTTCTTGTTATGCTCATTGATTAATATCTTTAGAACCTGATTTTCTTATAAAAAAAGAGCAATTGAAGAATTAATTGAAAAAAAGCTAATCATAAATGTATTTTTTACCCCAAATTTTATTGTGAACTAAATTTCATTAAAAGATATTGGGAAGCTTGTAAAAGATATACTAGAGAAAATTGCTATTATTCATGGAATGGATTACAGCAAGTAGTATCTAAAAGTTTTAATTCTATATCATTAGTTATAATTAGAAAATTTGCAAGAAAGTGCTGGCGTTATATGGATGCTTATAAAAAAGGTATTAGTGGAAAATTGGCAGAGTATGCTGTCAAGAAATACAAATCCCATAGAAGAATTCCAGATAGTGTTTTAAAAGAATTAAGTAAAAACAAAATTAATTAGATAATTGTCTTTAACCAATAAAAAATCGATCCACGTGATTAAATCACGTGATGATCGACAAAATTTTCGGGCTCCTTTATGAGTATAGATGTCTTGCACTATAGTTGATTCTATAAAAAAGCAATTATTCAATAATATATTGAATATGAACCTTGCATATATTGTTTTGAACTTATTCACAAGCTTTATAACTGACATATGTAATTTGTATCGGTAAGTGTTAAACCATCTAGTAACATCTTTAGCTAAACTTCCTAATTTTGAGTCAGTTTTGCTAATTTTACATACTCGAATAATAAGCTCTTCATATAATTCTGTTGTATTATTTCTTGTTCTAAAAAAGAGTGCTTTGTATTCTTCTTGTAATTGATATCTAACATGCTAATTTTGAAATATAATATTAACAACTATTAACTTTATACGATTTTATGCAATAAAATATATTACCTGATCGATTTTTGAAGCAGGTTCAAAGGAATGTTGTGTTAAGGTATTATTTGGTGATAAGGTAGTAGATATTGAACTTTTTCTATCAGTACTTGTCATCATTCCATTTCAAATGTTTATTGCCAATTCAAGGATGCTTTTGTGATAGGCCAGCCAATAGGTAATTTCAAATTTGTTTAACATATTTTAAATTGTGTTAGCTTTGATTGTAAATTATCCTCAACATTAATACTCTTTATTTTCTTTGGTATTTCTGCAGAGTTTACTTGAAACAATTATTGTACATAAAAATTTTCTTGTGAAGATTACATTTGACTAGGAGGTAGCAATATTACAGAAGATTTTGAAGATCCTACGAAAGCAGTCTCCTATTGATTACAAGTTTCATTTGATGATACTTTCGGGTCAGTCATTCAATGGAGTCGCTTGAGACCTAAGCACAGCCAAATATGGAGTAGATTTAACGTTTAAACGTTCCACAATATCTTTCACTCCACCATAAATAATTATATGTTATAAAGTATATGCGTTTTAAAAGGTTTTTTTTTCTTTGCGATACTAATACGACAATGACCAATTTATTTATATTATGATGCGCTTCACTTCATCATGCTGAAATTTTTTCTTTAATTCGTCATAGCTATACTTATTACATAAATGTAATGTTTTTTTATATAATCAATTAAAAAGCCAGTTTATTTTTTTTTTTAATATATAATTTATGGAACAATGTTCACAATTTATCTTGCATGCTAATTTATCCTACTATAAATATGAATTAATTAAAATATTCTAATTAATGAACTAGCATAATTTGTTTTAGGTTTAATTTCCTACACACTTTATTCATTTCAAAGAAAAAAGATATACAACTTGAGTCCCGAAAATATACTTCCAGTGAAAACTTTTTAATTATTGAATAATAATAATTGACGTGCTTCTTCACTAGAAACTTAATATAGGCGTAAACCTTTACTTTTTCTTGTCATTTTGGGAAAAGACTTAGTAAATACATATAAGGAATAAAAGAATTAAAGTTGGATATGCTTTGCGACAAATTTTACGAGTTATAGCTTACAATAGAATAATTTTGTTGAAGAAAACTATTGTAAAATATAAAATTAGGATTTGAAATTTCAAATTGAATGTAAAATTAAAAAATATTTAATAAATTAATTCTTACTTTCTCATCTGTCCACCCTTTCGAACATAACTATAAACAAATTTATTTGTTCCTGCAAGATTAGTTTCGAAATTTTACAATAAGCGATATCATTTACTACTTAAAAAAAAAAAATAATATATGCTTCAAGTTGAAGTAGTGTGGTGTCTTATTTTTTGTATTTATTGGAAGCTACATTACCTTGTTATTTGCAATTTCTTTAATAGTTATATTTTCAGAATCGAACAATATTAGTGACACGTACGTAACAAAATTAATAATGACATAGATATGAATTATTATCATGTGTTTATGAATGAGTTAAATGCAAATCGGTTTTGACAGAAAAACCAGTTTGCATTATTGAAATCGGTTTAAACCAAATTTTTGTTTATCGATAAATTAATAATGTGTGAGTTTTCACACGAATTATGAGGTTTGCGCCATTTACGCCTATTCACGTGATGCAGTTGAATTTTCAACCGGAAAATTCTCGCAAAAAAATTATCCTAGATATAAACGCGCAATCCTCCTTTACTTTCTTTAAAAAATTAATCATTAAAAATGGCTACAAAATTCCATGGAAGTCTTTCGCAAGACCTTTCAATAATGTTATATGATTCTGATGATCATAATATTCTTATCCAAGCTGGAGTAAATGCTAATATTAAAGAATTTCGAGCACACACGAATATCTTGAGGGCTCGTTCGCCTTATTTCAAAACCGCACTTTCGGCTAAATGGGTAACTAAAAAGAACAATATGTTTGAATTTAAAAAACCGAATGTTAATCCTGTCGTTTTTGATATGATTCTCAAGTATGGCATTTTCTAACATCTGCGCCAAATCAATTTTAATATTACTAATCTTTTCCTTCTTCTAATATTTAAGATATATTTATACGGGAGAAGTGGATTTGACCAAACTATCAGGTGCTGACATTCTTGGATTGTTGGTTGCATCCGATGAACTTCTTCTCGAGGAATTATTTAAATATGTTCAAGATCATTTAATTGAAAAACAAAAGGCTTGGGTCCGGCAAAATTTTGTTTTTGTTCTACATACAGTTGTTAAGCTTGACAGTTGTAAGAAACTACAAGACCATTGTATTAATTCTATCTGCGCAGACCCACAACCATTTATCACCTCAAAAGATTTTCCATCACTTAACAAGGATATACTTTACGGATTGCTTAAGCGAGATGAATTGCAAATCGAAGAAGCTGTTGCTTGGGATTATTTAATTAAATGGGGTATTGAACAAACTCCTAATTTAGGAAGCAAGAATAGCGATAGGACTAAATGGAAAGGCAAAGATTATGAAGCATTGAAGAGCACTTTAAGTCGATTTATTCCTCTTATTCGTTTTCCAGACATTAGTTCTGTAGATTTTTTTGATAAGGTTCGTCCTTATAAAACTATCATTCCTCCTCATATTTATGAGGAAGCTATGGAATTTTATTTGAAGGATACTTTACCGAGTATGGATACTTTACCACCACGATTCAGTAAGCGTCAGATAGAATCAAACATTATTAAACCAAGGTTTGCTTGTGTAATTGCCAATTGGATTGATAGAAAAGACGGAAAAGCTGCTTGCAATAAGTCTAATTTAAAATACAAGTTCAGCCTTGTTTACTGTGGTAGTCGTGATGGGATTAATAATAATTCATTTAACAATTGTTGCCCTGGACAAGCAAAATACTTAGTTTTAGTAAAAGATCAATCTTCCAAAATATATGGCGGGTATAGTCCGATAGGATTTAATGTTACTAGTAGGAATTATAATTATAATTATAATTATAACTACAGGAGTTATGGGAATTATGCAACTTGGCGATCCACAACAGATAGCTTTATTTTCTCTTGCGAAGAAAATGAAGGACGTATCAAAAACATGAAAATTAGCCGCGTAACAAATAGTAGTTGCGCGATATATGATTGTTATCAGAATAATGGATTTAATTTTGGTAATACTTTTTATATGAGTGGGCAAAATGTATATTTGCAATATCAAGGATATTATGATGCTGAAGTTATAAATTCAGAAACGAACATTAATTTTGTTCCTAAGGAAATTGAGCTTTTTAACGTAGTTCCTTCGTAGTTTGTAAATTCAAACATACATATAAAAAGATTCTTATATAAAAAATTTGTTTTGATATCGTTTAATACAATGTATTTTGAATTATTATAATATCACGTGGTGTCCTTTAAATAATTTCTAAAATTTTAGAGCCTCTTTACTATTTTGCGTCATTCCTAAATTATACGCCTTACGAATTAATTTGTTCGTGTTGACCAATTTTCAAATGAATATAACAAGCGTTTTAGGGAAAGTACTGCTTCCAAAAGTTAAACCCTTCATTCATTGTTACTTGTTGAGTTGAAAATTCATAGTCTCATTTTTCAAAGATAATAAACAAGCTAAATCTTAAATTTTATTCTTTCAAGATTTATATCGGTAACATGAAAAGAAATTTTATTTTATACTTGTTTAATTGAAACAAATAGAATATTTTTGGCTTATAATCCATATTCTTACTTCGATGTGATCATTATAACAAATTTCACATTAATCCAAGATGGATAATTATAAAAATTGTGCAATAAGTTAAATAAAATCAATATATATATTGCTAATGAATGAATAATTTCTGAATTTTTATGAACACTCACCTGTTTATACTTGTTACCTATACTATATGGGTATAGGATAAAGTCCCAATCCCATCCCATCCCTTAAACTTTAAATTATAATCATTAATTATGATGATATTGTTTGTTAAAGTTTAGATTTATGATATTTAGTTCATTAGCTTCGCTTTTATGAACAAATTCAAATGAATATTACTATATTTTAGTAAGTGAAATATTGATTAAGATATACTTAAAAATATATTATAAATTAAATGTGAATTTGGGATTTGGGATATGGGATATGGGATATGGGATTTTAAATATAGTATGGGATACATGTTAAACATGTTGACTTTATAATATATATAACGAATAATTCACCTTTCATTATATATCATATCAAATTTTTGCTTATTAATACAGTTGCCCAATAATTGCTTAGTATTGCTCATTGTAATATCGTTATCATATAAG